TCAAAAAGGAAGGAGAAATAAGATACTTCCATGACAAAGAACAGCAGAAGAACTTCATGATCACCAAGCCAACCCTGCAGAGAATACTGAAAGACTGTGTATGTACACTTAGGAAAAAACCATTAAGCAAAGCAGACAAACAGAATGGAAAGATAAACATGCAACAGCTGAAATATAACATGTCAACAATAAAACAATATATAACAGTTATAAAAATTAATGTAAATGGTCTCAATTCAAAAATTAAAAGAAACAGACTGGCAGAATGGATCAAGAAACAACATCCAACCATATGCTGTCTACAAGAAACCCATCTAACCCCAAAGGATACTTGCAGACTGAAAGTCAAAGGATGGAAAACAATACTTCATGCAACTGAAAGAAAAAAAAAAGCAGGGGTAGCTACTCTGTTTGCAGACAATGTGAACTTCAAACAAAGAATGATCCGATGAAATAAAGAAAGTCATTACATACCGGTTAGGGGAAAATTTAAGAGAAAGAGATAACAATCTTAAATATATATGCACCAAATTCCAGAGCATTAGGTTATATACAGCAAGTAATAATAGAAATGAAAAATCAAATAAGCAATAACACAGTTATAACAGGAGACCTTAACACACCATTGACACCAAGGGACAGATCAACCAGACAGAAAATCAGCAAAGAAATAACAGAACTGAATCACACCTGTGAACAAATGGACTTGATAGACATATACAGAGTGTTCCATCCAACAACATCAGAATACACATTCTTCTCAGTAGTACATGGGACATTCTCTAAAATAGACCATATACTAGCCCACAGAACATGTTTAAATAAATGGAAAAGAACTGAAATTATCTGATGCATGTTATTGGATCTAGAACTATCATAAAAGATCTAGATCGGATCTAGAATATCATAAAACTAGAAATTAATGATAAAACAAATGGAAAAAATTCCACAAACACATGGAAATTTAATAATACACTCATGAGCAATCAGTGGGTCACAGGGGAAATTAAAGAAAAAACTAAACAATACTTACAAGCAAACAAAAATACAACTTACCAGGATCTGTAGGATGCAATGAAAGCAGTCCTCAGAGGAAAATTCATTGCACTGAGTTCCCACATCAGGAAAACAGAATGAACACAAATAAACAACCTGATGCTACACCTCAAACATCCAGAATAAGAAGAGCAAGTCAAACCCAAAGCCAAAAGAAGGGAGGAAATTATAAAAATCAGAGCAGAAATTAATTCAATAGAGACTAAGAAAACAATCCAAAGAATCAATGAATCAAAGAGTTGGTTCTTTGGAAGAATAAAAAAAAATTGATAAGCCCCTAGACAACCTTAATTTTAAAAAGGGAAGAAAAACTCAAATTCATGCAATAAGCAATGAAAAAGTCTCAAGCACTACAGGCTGTAGAAATACAGAAGATCATCAACACTTATTTTGAAAACCTCTATTCTCATAGGTGTGATAGCACAAAAGAAATAGGCAGATTCATAGAAACATATGAAGTACCAAAGCTAGGTCAAGAAGATGTAAAACTGCTGAATAACCCAATTACTATTAATGAAATTGAAAGTGTAATTAAGTCCTTGCCTACAAAGAAGAGCCCAGCCACAGACGGATTCACTGTGGAATTCTACAAGAAATACAAAGAATACTTAATGTCTCAAAGTCTTCAATGAAGTTGAAAGGGAAGCAATCCTTCCTAAGTCGTTCCTGGAAGCAAACTTTACTCTAGTACCAAAACCTGAGAAAGACCCAACTAAAAATGAGAACTACAGACCAATCTCCCTAATGAACACAGATGCAAAAATCCTCAATACAATATTGGCAAAAAGGATGTAGCAAATCATAAGGAAGATTATACACCATGACCAAGTGGGATTCATTCCAGGCATGCAGGGATAGTTCAACATACGTAAATCAATAAATTTAATCCATCATATCAATAAAGCCAAAAGTAAGAATCACATGATCATTTCTATAAATGCAGAAAAACCTTCCCATAAGGTCCAACATTCACTTATGATAATAACCTTACAGAAAATTGGAATAGATGGTCTTTACCTTAATATAATAAAGGCCTTTTATGACAAACCAACAGCCAGTATCATAGTAACTGGCAAAAATTGAAGGCCTTTACTTTAAAATCAGGCACAAGACAAGGATTTCCCTTATTACTGCTCCTATTTAATATAGTACTAGAAATACTAGCCAGAGTAATTAGGCAAGAGAGAGAATTAAAAGGGGTAAAGATAGGAAAGGAGGAAGGTAAATTATCATTATTTGCAGATGACATGATACTCTATATAGAAGATCCCTAAAACTCCATTGAAAGACTCCTAGATATAATAAATTCAGCAATATAGCTAGATTCAAAATCAATACTCAAAAATCAATCGCATTTCTATACACTAACAACAAAATCACAAAGAGAGAAATAAGAGAAGCCATGCCCTTCACACTAGCATCAAAACAAATGAAATACATAAGAATTAATCTCACCAAAGAAGTGAAAGATCTATATAGGGAAAAGTATAATACACTGAAAAAAGAAATTGAAGAGGATCTCAGAAAATGGAAAGACATTCCTTGCTCATGGATAGGAAGAATAAATATTGTGAAAATGGCCATTCTCCCAAAACAGTTATACAGATTCAGTGCAATCCCAATTAAAATACCATCAACATACCTCATAGATCTAGAGAATTAACTTCTAAAGTTCATCTGGAACCAGAAGAACCTACAACAGCAAAGACAGTGTTAAACAGCAAGGCCAGGCAGAAGACATCACAATCCCTGACTTGAAGTTATACTACAAAGCTACTGTAATAAAATCAACATGGTACCAGAATCAAAACAGAGCCAATGATCAATGGAATAGATTGAAATATACAACCACAACTACAAACACACTCAACCACCTTATCTTTGATAAAAGGACCAAACATTCACTGGAAGAAGGACAGTCTCTTTAATAATTGGTGTTGGAAAAACTAGCTCTCCATATGCCAAAAACTAAAACTAGACCCATGCCTATCACCATGTACTAAATTAAAATCTAAATGGATCAAATATCTGAATATTAAAACAGAAACACTAAATCTGTTGGAAGACAAAGTAGGTAAAAACCTTGAAGCCATAGGGCTAGGTGGACAATGTCATGAACAGGACTCAAACCACACGGGAAATACTTCCCAGAATCAATAACTGGGATCATGTCTTATTAAAAGTTTCTGGTGTCAAAATAAATCTCCAGCATAGTGAAAAGAAAACCTATAAACTGGGAAAAAATCTTAGTGAACTGTCCCTCAGACAAAGGTCTTTTGTCTAAAACATATAAAGAATTTTTAAAAAATCAGACCCCCAAAATTCAAAGGTCCAATTAAAAATGGGCATCTGAGATGAATACACAAATCTCAGAGGAATACAGTTGGCAAATAAATACATGAAAAAGTGTTCATCATCATTACTCATTACAGAAATGCAAATTCAAACCACACTGAGATTCCATCTCACTGCTGAAAGAATGGCCAGTATCAAGTAAACCATCAACAACAAATGCTGGAGAGGCTGTGGGGGGAAAGGTACTCTCCCGCACTGTTGGTGGGAGTGTAGACTGGTGCAACCATTGTGGAGGTCAGTTTGGAGATTTCTCAGAAATCTGGCATTGGAAGTCCTATTTGTTCCAGCTATTCCACTTCTAGGCATATTCCCAGAAGAATTGAAAACATCATAACACAGTCATATGTATGCACCCATGTTGATAGAAGCACAATTTTTAATAGCCAGATCTTAGAAACAACCTAAGTGTTCATCAACTGAAGAATGGATTAAAAAGTTGTGGTATTTTATACAATGGAGTACTACACAGCTATAAAAAATGATCACATTGAGATATTTATAAATAAATGGACACAGCTTGAGATATTTATAAATAAATGGACACTGCTTGAGACCATACTCATAAGCCAAGTAAATCAAACTTATATGTTTAAATACCAAATAGTTTCCCTTGTGTAAGAAATGGTAAGAATTCATAAAAGTATGTGGTAGTCATGATTCCCCATTATATTGCTTTGAAACCTTATAATGTTTTCATTCATTAGTTGGAATAGTTTTATTCTTGGTTGTTTTATTTTATTGTCTGTGATGATACGAACAACTGTTTTGATGAAAACAAGAGATTATAATAGCTAGTGCTGATGTAATATCACTGCTGTAATATCAGCAATTGTTTTGAAGTCCTACCAAGCTTTTGTTATTCTGTCTCCATAGGTTTTATCATGTTGCATCTTATTGGATTTTATTATGTGTGATAGTATAAACAAAATTTTTATGGACAAAGAGATAATATAGTAACCATTGTTCATTGTCTGTTAGTTGGTTCTAGATACCCTGTAATACTTTCTCTTGAATGGTTTTACACTGTCTTGATATGTTTGATGCTATAGTACACGAAGTTATACTCAAATGTTTCAATAAAAGAGACACCATGGTAGCTACTATTATGTTGGGTTGTCTTGTGGTAAAACACTATGTTGCTTAAATTGTTCTGTTCTGACCTGTGTTGTTATGTCCTCTTTTATCTTAATCTTTTTTAAAATAAAAAAAAATGATGTGTGGCTCTCTGGCTTCTTTTCAGGTGTTATAACAAAGTCTCAGCTTCTCAGGAGGGACCTACTCTCAGGACAGCTTCAAGACTAAGAAGTTTTGCTCTCTGTCTTTCCAGGTGTCTGGAGCTTCCTTTTGCCACAAAATCCTGTTCCATCCTTTCAACCATGCCCCAGTGAACCTAAATCCAACAGTGCTTGCTATTCCCCAAGCACCTCAACTAAATTCAGCGTAATTTATCACATTCTCCTGTGAAATTCAGTATCTGAGTTTCGACAAAATGTCACAAAGAAGCTTAATCCCAGCAATGTGGAGACTGCTGCCTCTGGAAACTGCTGGTAGATATATTTTTTTAAAATTTTTATTTAAAAGAGGTAAAATTAAACATAACAAAACAGAACATAACCATATAAAGAGGCACAGATTTCAAAGCAAGCCAACCGGAGATCTTCACTATCTATCATACTGTCTCGTTTTCTTCCAAATAGTTGTGTCTTCACACACAGTGAATTCACTGAAAACAACTTAGTACAAAAACTGATCAGAACAGGATGATGAAGGCGTTTTAGGTCTTCAAGACCAGACAATCAGGAGGTCAACAATAGCTGTCATAATGTCTCTCATTCTCTTCAAAAATAGCTGTCCTTGCTTTCACGTATGGTAGATATCTTTAGAGCTGATATGAAACTTCATTCACAAACCACTGGAGAGACAGAGATGATAAGATAGATGCATAGGTGATAGATATAGATGATATATGATGATGATAGATTGGGTAAATAGGTAATAGATAGACAGATAATTTGTTCAATTCAGTAATATATCCAGGCAAAGTTCGGAAGACAATCTTTACTGCACCTGGTATTTACATGTTGGACTGAGGTCTGTTCCCCTATCCTTTTTTATACTAATTGGCTTTGTCTGTTGCTGTCTCCATGGTCAGTGCTTCTCCCTGGGCAAGAGAAAAGAAATGAGGCAGAGCAAAAAGAAACAGGAAGCTATAAGAGTTCTTTACTTTTATCTACACTTTACTTTTATCTTAAAGCTCAGAGTGATGCATACCACAAGGAGTTTCTTTCCAGGTCAAATGAAGTAGCATAAAGATTCTAGAACATTTCCAGGTTTCATGGGAACTCACTTCCTCTTTTTCCTCTAAAGGGCTTGTCCATGGGCCAGAGTGCCCAGCTCAGATCAAAGACTCACAGACCCAAATCCTCTCTCATCCCACTGGGCCTCTCTCCCTTCTTCAGCCCAGGCTTGAAGAACTCTGTCTTCCTAGAGGGGCTACAGCATTTCCTCTTAAATCTGAGGAAAGTAATAAAGATACTGAGAAGGTTCCAAGCCAAAGCTTTCTAACTTCTCCTTTAAGTAAAAAAAGGTCAGTGCCCTGGAACCAAATGTTCTACAAGTTTACATAGTTATCAAGTCACCAAATCACCCAGTGATCCCAACAGCCCCTTCTCTTCTCTCTCATGGGCCCTTGTGCTGTAAACTCAGAAATCCGTGGAAGCCTCAGGCCTTACCTGTTCCAAAAGAAGGCCACACTATCTTCCACAATCTTCTGGTCCTTGGATATAAGTTGCTGTATGAAAATCAAAATTGAGAGAGATGTTTCTTAGTTAATGAGGTAAAGAGCTCTGCTAGCTTTTAGAAATTCTCTTAGCTTCCTGTGGGAGTTTGAAAGCTCAGGATAAATCCTGATCTAAAGTCATGTTAGATGCCTGCACAAGAAGCAAGAGACCCAGTTATCCTCCCTCTGTTTCTCTGAATCAATAAGGCCCCAACACTCCCGCATAGAGGCCCAAGCTTGGACTGGAGGGACAGTGCTGGCTCAGAAGCACAGATCCCTCAGCAGACCAATATCCCTGCTCACTTCCCTCCTTCAGAGAATGAAACACCTAGCCTGCACTTGGGCTCCAGAACTTCTCTGGGGCAAGGCCTTCCCCTGAGGGCTGCTGCTCCTCACACTCCTCTCCATCTTCCTGCTGCTCCTGCTCTGCTTCCTGCTCTTCCACCTGTGCTTTCTCTTGGGTGCTCCTTGCTTCCACACCTCCTCTCAGCTGCGTCATGGTGCGGTGAAAGACGTGGCAGCTGAAGCCCTCTCTGATCCCATACTGCACGTGCTCCTGGAGGACATCAATGGTGGCAAAAACCCGACAGCAGGCCATGCACTTGAAACCACTCTCCACAGACCACAGCCAGTCTGGTGTCTTGACCCTAGACATCCCAGTCCCTAGTGTCTCCTTAACTGCAGGGGACCCTGGCTGGTGGTGTGGCTCTGCCTTTGTTTTGTGCTTGTTCTTCTCTCCACTGGGCTCACAGTCTGATGGGAGGTTTCTGCTTGACAAGCTAGAGGGAGGAGCACCAACCCGTAGAACCTCAGGAAGCACTGCTTCCTCCATGCTTGGCAACTTTCCTGGGGACCCTGAGGTCCCCTCTGCCTCCCAAGAGACAGCCACATCTTTTTTCATGTTTACTTTGATGTAGTATATTTTCATGCTTGTTTCTTCTTTGCATATATCCACAGAGTTTATACAGGTCTTAAAAGATGAACAGGAAGAAAAGGAGACAAGCTTTGAAGCAGATGGTATTTCTCCCTGTTCTTTAACCTGGACAAGAAAAGTTTTATCCTGGAGACCATCTCCTTGTACTACGTGGCTTCCTAGGGGAAGGAAATTAAAAATATAAGCAACTGCATGGAGGTTGCAGGAGGCTAAAGACACACAAGTGTAAATATGAGTGGTGCAGGAGAAAGATATCACAGGTTGATGCAGTCGTGTGATGGACACGGTATTTGTTGTTCATATTATAGGGTGTGAGTTTGGTATAATTTGTGTGTGTGTGAGGACAACAGCAGAGTACATATACATAGAAATATGACTATGGTGGTGAGGACTGTAGCATGTGTGGATAGAGGCAGAGCATTGTACATGGATAGGTTCTGCTCACCATATGCTGTTGGGATGTTGGTTCTTGTGCATGAGTATGTCATTGCGGGTCGTGTGTCTTGGCTAGTGTGTGTATTGAGAATGTATGTATCTGTGGTGTATGGCTGAAGTGTGAGGTCTGTGGGCCTGACCTATAGTTCTCCAGTACTTCAGGGGAGGCCTCTGCTGAAGCACTCTGTCCTCAGCAGAATTCACATAGTACCTTCAAAGGTGCTTAGACTAGTCACTTGGTCTGAAACCTGAAACCCAGACCTTTCTAGAAATCACTCCTTGGCACCCAGCCATGGTCACATTAAGAAGCTAAAGCCCTGAGCTGAGCTCCTGCCCATGCTCTCCAACAGCCCTTGGTTATGCCTGTGTGACTCCACAGAGCACTAACCCCTCAGCAATACACTTGGATTTACATGCCTCCGGCACTGTACCAAGGAGGCCCACATTCAAGGAGCCTCATACACAAATATTTCCAGAGTCTCATACCCACAGGGCCCTGCACCCTTACTACCTTGGATGAGCTTGAATGGAAAAGAAACAGAGGAGAAGGGCTCAGAAGCAGATGATGTCTCCCCTACCCCTAGAGTCTGGACTCTGGGGATTCCAGAACACACTGGCTGAGGAGCGTGTGCTGGTGACGCTGAAGTTCCTGGAAAAGGTATGAAAGACAGAGAGATATGAAAGGTTAGGCATGCTTGATCATCATGCACCTATGTAAAGAATATTCACTGAGTGTCTGACATGTACACCGGGAGGAGTGAATGCACCCAGCTTAGCAAAGCCTCTTTGTGGATCTTCAGTACATATTTATAGTTCCCGTTTTATTGCAGTTTTGGTAAAAATGCAGGGACAACTGTGAAGTGTAAGAGGGATGTGCAGCAGGGATCCTTTGATAAATGTGGGGTCCGTGTATGGTGGAATGTGGTGGAAGTGTATGTCTATATCTGTGGAGAATCTGTGACCTTGCTTTATGTTCACAGCTCAGGAATTCTGCAGTGTATAACTGCAGTGTATAATTGATGATATAGTGTACCTTGTATTACTGGTCAACATTCATTTATTCATCACAGCAAGGTATTACACGCATCCAACACTTGAGAAAATATTTCATTATTTTAGATTCTGAAAATATTGAACAAGGCGGACTTTCGGGAGAACACGGCAGACAAATAACAGCATCCATGGAGGCTCTCTGAGATTACCAGCTTAGAATCCAGGAGTGGTGCCGTGTGAGGTGTCCTAAGCGAGGGGATGCCGACCCAGGAATGAACTAAGCTGAGAGAAACCAACTGGAAATGCAATCCTGATGCTATAACAGGAACAGATAAAATCTCAGCACAGAAGCTGGATCCTTCACCACTAGAAGCCACAATTTGAATTTCCTGCTGCCGCTGCTGCGTCCCAATCAGCACAGCAGGAAGAGAGACGCATGAAAACTCTGAGAGCGGGAATCGGTGAACCAAACGACGTTGACAGCAAGACTGACAGGGAGCCCTGTATCGACCTGCAGTGAGTGAGAGAAATGGGGACCCTTTCAGAGACTAGGAGGCTCCAACAGAGGACATTCTGGGATGGGGCAGACTAGCCAGAACAGGGCCCTACAGTGACTTTAGTCACATATTGCCCTCTCAAGCAGGATTGGTGGGGAGCGCTTGGCCTGGTGATGCCACGGACTAAGATCCAGTAGGCTAGCCCAAACCAGGTCCTTGCACCTGGCATTGCACCCTAGCAGTGAAGCCTTCACTAGGTTGATCTGGAGGGATGGGCCCAGCAGAGGCTGCCCAGGTCTGTGTCTCCCTAGTACACTGCAGTGGGTGGGAACACCTAGCCGGCAGATTCAAACAAACTGTAACAGACAAGGAGAAAAAAAAAAAAAAAACTGGGCCTCCTACATACGCTTGTATGGGAGGAACAAAAAGTATGGGAAGAGGGAGCAACAAGAAAAGGTCCTCAGTCCCCAATCCTGAGAACACTGATCCAGGAAAGGTAAATGCAAAAGAAAATGAAGACAGAAAACATGCAATATCAAACATGGCACCAATAGACATAAAGCGATATCTCCAGAGCCTCATAGACAAGTTCAAAAATGAAGTATTTAATGAAATAAAGCAAGAAATAAGTAGAATAGTTAGAGAAATGCTAAGCACCACCCAAGAAAAAACAGATGGTGGAATGGAAGTACAGAAAAAAGGGGAAAATTGTTTGAGGGAGAAAATAGAGAAAACATAGAATATGTGAAGCAGGTTCAAAGAGATTACCAGGAAACTAAAAACTCTATTGAAAGCTGGCATAACAGCTTGAAAGAAACTAAGGATAGATTATCAGAACTGGAGGTCAGATTTGTAATGTGGGAGCATGAAATGAAAAACTTCTTAAAAATAACAAAAAAACAAACAGCAATAATACAAAGGCTAGAAGATGATAAGAGGATCTATAACTTAAGAATTAAGAACATAAAAGAAGAAGTAGGGACACAAATGAACTACAAAAACTATTCACAGAAATAATCCAGGAGAATTTCCCTAATTTAGAAAAAGGTAAAGATACTCATATGCATGAGGCATACAGGACCCCAGCCACCTACAACCCAAACAGAGCTACACCCAGGCATATAATAAAATTCCAGAAATCCAGTATAAGAACAGAATATTAAAAGCCATCAGAGACAATAAACAGATCACTTACAAGAGGACACCATCAGAATTACAGCAGACTTCTCGGCACAAATCATCAAATCATGAAGAGCATGGGGGGAAATAATTCAAGCTTTGAAAGATAACAGCCTCCAGCCAAGATTGATATATCCTGCACAACTGTCCCTAGAAATTAATGGAAAAACAATGTGCTTCCAGGATAAAGAGGAACTAGGGGAATTTGCAACCACCAATTCAACTCTACAGAGAATACTGCAGGATATTCTAAAAATGAAAAATACCAAGATTCCAGAAACAGTGGCAGAGAGGCCAAAATTAATGGAGTAGAAAGCAAAATGAAGAAGACAAACTGACAACTAATGCCAGAAAAAGAGCTCAACAGAAATGAGGCAGAGAAGGTTGGATGGTAGGAACAGCCATTTTTGGAGAAAACAAGACATCATAATAGCTAGTGCTGATTTAACATCATCTTGTTTTGAAGTCCCATCAAGCTTTGGTTCTTCTGTCTCCATTGGTTTTAACCTGTTGTATCTTATTGGATTTTATCATATGTGATAATATAAATAAAAACTTTTATAGACAATGAGATTATACAGAAACCATTGTTCGTTTTCTGTTAGTTGATTCTAAATACCCTGTAATACTGTCATTCTCTTGAATGGTTTTACATTGTCTTGATATGTTTGATGCTACAGTATACGAAGTTATACCCAAAGATTTTAAGGAAAGAGACACTATGGTAACCACTTTTATGTCGAGATTATCTTGTGGTGAAACACTATTTTGCTTAATTGGCTATGTTTTGACCTGTGCTGTTTTGTTGTTATGCTCTCTTTTTTATCTCAATCTCCTTTTTATTATCTACTTTTTCATTTTTATCCTTTTAAAGGAAAAATAAATAAAAATAGTAGGATATATTATAGTAATCCACATTGATTTCCTATTAACTTAATTTGAAACCCTTTACTATTCTCACCATCTTGTTTTGACTAATTTTCCTCTATTCTGTTATGCTTGATAGTACCAAGTTCGAAAGTATAAGCAACAACTATGAAGACAATAAGATTCATTATGATGCCCATTCTGGTTGACTATTATCTTCTTTTGAAATCCTCTAATGTCTCCAATGTTTTGGCTTTATTGGTTTTGTTCTTTACTGTTTTGTTCAATTTTGTTATAACTGATGATATAATCAATTCTTTTTAAGATAGCAAGAGGCATTATGGTAACCATTGTTGATCACCTTGTATTCTGTTTTTACATTATGTATTATGTCCATCCTTTTGGTTTGACTGACTCTGTCCTATTATGTCACATTTGGTTTTACTTTCTTCAAAAAAAAAGTATTAAGAACCCAAAATGTGTAATTGTCATTGTACAAAAGAGAGGAAAAGAAAGTGCTCTAAAGGACATAACTGCATGTATATTTAAGTGTATAAGATAGGTAACCATATTACCGAGTTTTATTGGATCATTGAACAGAACTGTTTGCAGTATCACTGTTTGAATGTCCACTCTATATGCTTTAATTTTGTAACTTGAACAACTATTTCTAACATGACAATATGTAATTTATTAACTAGTGATTTCCTACTGTTTATTTTTTCTGAAATTCTGTATAACTTGTACCCTTTTTGGTTTTTTTTTCTTTTTTCTCCTTAAATGAAATTTAAAAAAATATATTGAACAAGGCAAACTGCCTTTTATATTTATACCTTCCAATGAAGTATAGAGGAATGCAGAACATGCAACATAATAGATCAGCTTATGGAGAATAAATAAAAGTGACCAAAAAATGGACTATATTTAGCAAATGAGAATACCTCATGCCAACTTAAATTTGAATTCCAGACATATCACAAATAAGTTTTAGCATAAGTATGTTCTATGGAACACTCATAATACTCATACTAAAAAATTATTTGTGAATTATCTGAAATTCAGGTTTAAATGATCATCCTATATTTTTATCTAGCAATCTTAACAAGGGGGTAGGAGTGAATCTGTATTTTATTCAAGTTTGTAGAAAAAGGACCTAGTACTTTACACACTGTAATGGATGTAGCAT